CATTCGTACTCGTCCTGTGCGCATCGTTTAGCTGATCCCCACCGGCATCGCCTTGGCCCCACTGGCCGCATCCCCCCCGTGAGAAGATATATGCTGCTCCTTGAACGTTGCGCGCGGCTAACGTATCCCCGCGTTGGAGAGATGGGGGGTGGGAACGAGATGCCATGACCCAACGGGGATGGGGATCGATTAGACGATGCTGATCCTGGGTGCTGGAGAAGCGTTTGCTGGAGATCTCGCTTCCAGCTGAATCGAGCAGGCGCATGTAGAAAGGGGCGATCCGTTCCTTACAGCAATGAGTCCACGCATTCACCACCTTCACCGAATCAATAGTGGCTGCCCCAGCCAACGTCACCTCGAACCACGGATTCGCCCCGTAGTCCGTGTGACACACAGACTGGCATGCTCCGCCCTGCGTATATGGAACTGAACCAGTACAAGGGATCAACGGGGAACTATCATCGCGCGTGCTGCCGTCGACGCATAAGCTGGCACCAAAACCATTCCACTGCCCGGGACCTTGCTGCGCGGGGCATTCCAGCGCCAAGTTCGCTGGTGCCGTCGTTGGAGCAGGCGTTGGAGGAGGCGTTGGAGGAGACGTCGGAGCAGGCGTTGGCGAAGGCGTCGGGCTGCTCGTTGGGCTGGCAGGCTGGCAAATGACGCCCACGTCCTCGTGGTGCCCGCAGTTGTGGCTGCCGTAGAGGAGCCACGCGCAGTCTGCAAGGGCCGCCTCCGTGCCCGCGCAGCCGCTGATGTGGTTGCTCGTGCCGTCCACGTGGATCGGGTACCCGGAGCTACCTGAGGGGAAACGAGAGGAGGGGGACCACATTAGAGAGCAGAACATCCACCCCCATAAGAAGCACCCCGACAAGCGAAGCCGCTCAGCAAACGCACCCAGGAAAGGAACGGAACAGGGAAACGCCCAGCGCCGTGCAATAAACGCCAACTGTCGGGGTCTGGGCGGTCTGTCCTCGGCCGGCCACAGCACCCCAAAACCAAAGGATCATCGAGGGCACCCTCCCCCAAAATGCACAAGAACATCAGAAACGCAAAGAACAGTAGGGCGCCCTCCCCGAACCGACCGCGACCTCCCCCCTCGGCCCGACGCTCGGGGACACGCATCGCCGAGCTGGAATCGGCGACGCGCCGCCGACAGATCGGCGACGGGCCCCCCCCCCGAGAGCGACCGAGGCCGCGCGCGCTCCCGGGCGGGGTGGGCCATCGGGCCCCTCGCGGCGAGGAGCGGGGCCGGTGCGCTCCCCACGGAGCTCGGCCACCCGCCAGAGCGGCCCCGGGCAAGAGAGTGACCTCTGGCGCGCGGCTCTGCGGGGGCCGCGGGGGGGCCCAAGCACCAGCGCGCAAGACGCCACCATCGCATCGCGCTCGGCGATCGGGGGACCCCAACGGGCCCGCGCCAAGGGGCCACTCCCGCGAAGGGTCGCTATTTTACGCGCAGTCGACAAGCCGCATCCCCCTTCCCCATCGCCGCCCCGGGCCACCTCCATTGGCGTTGTACTCCTGGGCCCCGCTCGCGTCCAGGCCGAGCTCACGGCACACGACCGCCGCCAACTGCTGACCCCCGGCGACGTTGACGTAGCCGTTGGAGCACGGGCTGGTCCCCCCGCCGGGCGCGTCGCAGTCCGTGACGTCGTCGCACACCGTGCCCCACTGCCCGCCCCAGAAAGTCCTGCGGCCACCCTGCTCGAGAGGGTGGCGTGGCGAGGCTCGTGAGGTAATCGGATGTCCCCTTCTCCCCCTCCCAGAGTCTCGAGGCCTTTTCTGGGCGGGGTCGGAGGATCGCGCCGCATCGCCGATGCGTCGGCGATGCGTCGGCGACGTCGGCGTGGAGAACGTCGGTCTCCACGTCGCGCCGCATCGGCGATGCATCGGCGAGGCGGCGCGATCCTTCGACCCTATCCGCTCGGGCCCCATACGGCAGGGCCTGGAGAACTCTGCGCCGCCCCGCCTCCCGTCAGATCCTCTGCTTTCGAGGGGAGCCTAAAAACTCGAGCCTAAAACCTCGACCACCCTCCCCGACGCCCTGGGGGTCTTCTCTGGCAAATCGCATATTTTCCTATCATATAAGGGGGCAAGGGGGGGGGGGGGGCAATGGAAGGGGGAGGCAGGCAGGGGCGGCGCAGGAAGGTGGAATTGGGAATGGAGGAAAAAGGGGAGGCGAGGAGGGCGACGGAGCAGGCGAGGAGGGCGACGGAGGGGGGGGAGGAGGCATGGGGGGCGAGGAAGGAGGAAGGAGGAGGCGAGGAGGGCGACGGAGGAGGAAGGAGGAGGGGCAGGATGAAGAGGAGGAGCAGGAACACGAAGGACCACGGGAAGGCGCAGAGCAAGTTACAAATGTGTTTCTGCGCCACCGCTCGTTTTCCACACGAGCTCGTCTTCAGCCCAGGGGACATCCGCGCCCACACAGCTGCTGGAGTCCTGCCTGCCCCCGATGCAGGGCTGGGCCCAAAGAGAGGGCGCTGGGGACCTGGGCCGAAGAGGGCGCACCCTGCGGCGAGAGGCCCTCCCGGCGTGCCTCGAGCCCCTTCTGGGGCTCTGTCTCCGGAACCCTTGGTCCCAGGCGATGTTTCGCTCCTCCTCCTCCTCCTCCTCCTCCTCGTCCTCCTTCTTCTTCCTTCCTTATTCTTCTTATTAGGATTCTTATTATTCTCATTATTAGCATTATTATTGTTAGCATTCTTATGATTAGTATCATTATTCTTATCATCATTATTATTAGTGTTATGATTATTGTGATTAGTACGATTCCGAATATTATTACGACTAAGTGTATTAATATTGGTTGTTTGATTTCATTATTGTTAAAAGCAGCAGCAGCAGCAGCTGCATCAGCATCAGCATCAGCATCAGCATCAGCATCAGCATCAGCATCAGCATCAGCATCCTCATCAGCATCATCCTCATCCTCATTCTCATCCTCATCCTCATCACCACCACCACAACGACCATGATCATCATCATCATCATCATCATCATCATCATCATCATCATCATCATGATCAGCTTCAGCATCATCATCATCATCATCAGCATCATCAGCATCATCATCATCATCAGCATCAGCATCATCATCAGCATCATCATCATCGTCATCATCCTCACCATCATAATCATAATTATAATCCTCAAACTCACACCTTGCTTCCTTCCTTCATTATTTCCTTCCTTCCTTCCTTATTATTGTTGTTACTATTACTATTAGAAAGTTTATTAATATTACTAGTAGTATTACTATGATTCGTATTATGAGTACTATTAATATCAGCATTAGTATCAGTATTAGTAATAGTATTAGTATTAGTATTAGTATTAGTATTAGTATTAGTATTAGTATTAGTATTAGTATCATTAGCATTAATATCAGTATTAGCATTAGTATTAGTATCAGTATCAGTATTAGTAGTAATATTAGTATTAGTATTAGTATTAGTATTAATATTAGTATTAGTATTAGTATCAGTATTAGTATTAGTATTAGTATTAGTATTTAGATTTAGATTTAGTGTTAGTATTAGTATTAGTATTAGTATTAGTATTAGTATTAGTATTAGTATTAGTATTAGTATTAGTATTAGTATTAGCATTAGTAGTAGTATTATTAGTAGTAGTAGTAGTAGTAGTAGTATTCGTATTAGGATTAGTATTAGCATTCGTACTACTATTAGTATTAATGCCATTATTGGTACTATTCTTACCTTTCATAACCAACATCATCATCATCATCATCATCATCATCAGCATCATCATCATCATCATCATCATCATCATCATCATCATCATCATCATCATCATCATCATCTTCATCTTCATCTTCATCTTCATCTTCATCACCATCATCATCATCATTACCAGCATCAGCGTCAGCATCAGCATTCTCATCAGCATCAGCATCATCCTCATCATCATCCTCATCACCACCACCACCACCACCACCATCATCATCATCATCATCATCATCAGCATCACCATCATCACCATCATCATCATCGTCATCATCATCATCATCATCATCATCATCTTCATCATCATCAGCATCAGCATCAGCATCAGCATCCTCATAAGCATCGACATCATGCTCATCATTGTCCTCATCCTCATCCTCATCACCGCCGCCACCATCATCATCATCATCATCTTCATCATCATCAGCATCAGCATGAGCATCAGTATCAGCATCATCATGCTCATCCTCATCATCCTCATCATCATCCTCATTATCATCCTCATCAGAATCATCACCACCACCATCATCATCGTCATCGTCATCATCATCATCATCATCATCATCATTATAATCAGCATCATCATGATCAGTATCATCATCAGTATCATCAACATCATCATCAGTATCATCATCATCATCATCATCATCAGCAGCATCATCATCTCAGTATCATCATCAGAATCATCGTCATCATCATCGTCATCATCATACTTGTCACAATCATGATCATCACCATCATCATCACCATCATCATCATCATCATCATCATCGTCATCATCGTCATCAGCACCACCACCACCATCATCATCATCATCATCATCATCATCATCCCCATCCCCCCTTCTCCTCCCTGGCCACAAACCTCGAACCTCGAGACTGCGCCCTCGAACCTCTCTGTCGGGCCTTTCTGAGGCCCATTGGCAGAGGCCTCCCCGACGGGGTCCGAGCAGATGTGGTCGGAGGACTGCGCCGCATCGCCGATGCCTCGGCGATGCCTCGGCGACGTCGGCGTGGAGAAAATCGGACTCCAGCGGCGCGATCCTCCGACCCCATCTACTCCGACCCCATCTGGGAGGCCCAGGCATGGGCTTTCTCTTTGGAATGTCGAACAGTTAGGATGCAAATGTTGTACTTCGACTCCGCACGGCCTTTATTCCATACATGCTCAACTCGTCGGGCGAGGAACTGCTTAGAAAGGGCGGGCGGTGAACGCGAAACGTCTTGAATGAGCACCAACCCCTGGACGCTCCCGTCTCCGTTCGTCACCGGGTTGTACAAGATGACGTCTTTGTCCTGGCAGCCAGAGGTGTCGGCCAACGTGCACGACGCTCCTGAGCCAGCCGCCTGCGGGGTGTTGGTGAAGGTCTGCGTCTTGAGCGATGCTGCGCTGGGTATGCTTGTGGCGAACACCACCAGGAGCATGGTCCCGATCTGCTGGTCTGCTACCATCTTGCAGATCAGAAGACTAGGGGACCGTTTCGGGCTCGAAGTTCAATAAGCGTATGCGTGGCGCAGCGTAGAATGCACGGGCCGATCGTGACTTGGGCACAAGTGGCGATGGATAGCTAGATGCTGTTCGCCCCATGTTCCTTCTACTCTTCCTCCTGTCTCCTCCCTTTTCCTCCTGCCAGCAGAATAAAATAAAGCCGCATGCTTGCACAAAATCTGCGCGACCAAATAGTCACGGGGAATTTGCCACTTGGGTTTGCGCCTTGCTCCACCTGGCTCGGCACTCACACGTTGGCACTGCCGAGGGCGATGAGTGGCGGCTGTAGTGGAAAGATTGGCGGACAGACTACAAACGCATAGCGTCCACAATACCTCGGGCCAAGTGGCTATTGCCTTCGTTCGTGGACGGTGCCGCATCAAGCGTACCAGTCGCTATTCTATAGAGTCCCATCTGCCGCCTGGGCTTACGTGGCTCAAAGCACTTCCTCTTCCAACCCCATTCCTCCTTTCCAGGGAGGGGCTTCCCCTCCCCCTACCCCGTCCACTGGGTTTGGTTGGGGGAGGCAGGGGTAGTTACATCTACCCAAGACGGCCAAAAATGGCTGCACGAGGACCCAAGATGGCTCAAGACGGGCCAAGTTCACTCAAGATGGCATCCAGTTCGCCCCAAAGAAGTCTCAAGACTGGCGCAAGACGGCCCCGAAAGGCCAAAAACCAATCCAAAATCTGAGGTTGCCCAGCGTTTGTCATCTAGCCTTTTGCTTCCGATGGATATCCGAAGTTTCAATATGGCCCCAATCTCGCCATTATAACCCAAATGTGCCCCGATATGTGCCCATGCGAGGCTGCAAGACGGCCCCAAGAGCGCCCAGAGATGCGGTCTTTCGGGTCCCGCAGCGGCGGGCTCTCATCATCGCTTTCCCCGCTCGCATACACACAAGATCCGGCGACCCCAACTTGCCGGAAATGACGGGGCGCGCGAGACATGGGGCTGTCCCGGTGCAAAAACCGTTTCCCCCTCCCGTGGGATCCAAAATCAAATCCCGTTAACGGAGCGGCGGGCGGGGGCGACCCTGGGATCTCGTCAGCGGCTCTCTGGAGCCCTCGGAGCCTCCAAATCCACCTTCCGTCGCCGCCAAGATGCCCAAGATGCCCACTAAGATGGCACAAAAAAAGCTTCATCGCACTGGAAAGGCTTCCAGGGAATCCAGAATGGCAGCAAGACGGACAGAGTTACCTGGAACACGCCCAGAGAGGGCCCAAAAGAACCCGAAAAAAGGCCTCAAGAAACCACGAGAACCCCAAGACGCCCCAAGACGCTCCCCGAGGCACCCAAGACCCTCCAAGATGCCTCCAGGTCCACCAAGAAGCCCCCAAGACGCTCCAAGATGTTCCTCCGCGGGCTGCCCACTTCCCTGATCGAGGCACCTCCTCCTGGCATCGTTTCTGGATGGGCTGGTGTTTTTTCTTCCGTCGCGGCCGCAAGCGGAAGCGCGGGCGGCGTCCGAAGTCAGCCCTGGCTACGAGTCAAACCAAATCACCTAAGCGCGCGAACAAGCGGCCGCCCGCCAGAGCTACCGCCGAAGGACGCCGGGCGACGCCGGGGACTGAAGGCAGAGCTGCACGAGGTGCCAAGTGTGCCAGGCGGCTGAAGTGCAAACATCTCAAGGGCGAGACCACCGAGAAGGCAAATTAATTGTACCTTGTCGCGTCAAGCGCCAGGAGGAAAATGAGCCACCCGAGCAGAGCACGGCATAGCGCGGGGCTGAGCAAGCAGCCCAGCGTACCTGTGTCGCATGCCAACAGTGGCAACCTCAAGTGGTTGAACAAGAAGGCTAAATAAACTACTCATGAGCAATCCACGTGGAGGTGCATCCCACCATTGCAAGGCGGCAGCTGCAAAACGGCCAGGCTGTGGCAGTGTCTGGGGACCAGGGGCCAGGAACATGCAAGCATGCTAGCCGGAGCTGGTCGACGCGCAAGTTACCGGGACGCCAGGGTTACATCAACAGGCTCAAAGGAGCCAGCACGGACACCAACAGACACCAGGGACAGAGGGCGGAAGCCCGGAAGCCGCAACCAGGCTATGGTCGGCGGCAGGGCGGCGGCGGCCAGGGGGGTCCAACCGGCGCCAAGAAGGGCGGCGCGGCAAGCAGCTGAAGGCAGAGAACACCCCATGCCAAGTGCCAGCGGCGCGGCATGCGTGAGTCGAGTGCCACCACGAAGAGGAGGCCAGCTCACCAGGGATACCAGGCCAGCCTGTGGCTGGGTGCGGGCGAAAGCCAAGGTGAAAACAGCCACAGCAAACGGCCAGGGCCGCGCGGTGGCACGCTGCGCCCCGCCCCAGCACGGGGCATCGTGCCAGGTATTGACAGCGCCGCGGAGCCTGAACCCCAAGGGCGCGGGGCGACGCCAGGCGCAGTGCAGGGACCGTCACCGGTCGGAAGGGGGCCAACTCAACAGGGATACCAGGCCAGGCCGTGGCCAGGTGCGGGAGAAGGCCAGGGTGAAAAAAAACTACAGCAAACGGCCAGGGCCGCGCGATGGCACGCTGCGCCCCGCCCCAGGGAGGGGCATCGTGCCAGGTATTGAGAGCGCCATGGAGCCTGATCCCCAGAGGCGAGGGGCGAGCCAGGCGCAGCGCAGGGACCGTCACCGGTCGGCGGAGGAGGAGAAGTAGGGGGGGAGCGACGCCAAGAAACGCAAGCGTCAAACGGCCACACTGTCAGTTGGCACAAAGAAGAGGGGGAGGGAGGGGAAGCGCTGAACGTGATCCCAGGACGTGGGGTTGGCACTGAAGTGGCTAACGGCCACACTTTCTGGTCTCTGGTGTCTGGCTAACGGCCATGCCTTCTGGTGACGTTTCTGGCGCATCCAGCGACTGTGCCAGGGAAGATCACGCCCACTTGGACCGCTTGCCGCCGTGGTCTGCACCGTCGCTGTTGCGTTTGTCTATCTTACCTCCGTCATGCCAGTCAAGGTCGCGCCAGGACTGCCCTGAGCCGTGCCAGGACCACCCCTCCCAAGAATCCCAGTACTGGTGCCAGGAGACAGAGCTCCACCCCTTTGACTGATGGGACCCCTTGCCAGGACGTCGCCCTGATGTGCCTCTCACGCACGGCAGGCCAATCGACATTGAGCCCCAGCTGTCGATCCATCGCGCAGGCGTCGAAGCCGCATCTGCGCCAGGCGTCCAGGAAGCCCTTGCACGTGGACTCGTCGTTCAGGAAGGGGGTGTTTTTGGACTTCCCTTTGGCGCGGATGGGGTGCTGCTGCGTGTAGCCGTGCCAGATCCCGTTGAACGCGGCCCCTAGAAGCTTCTGGAGGCACGCGATCTTCTCGGCTGGGGGCTCTCCGTAGCGATCCAGGCTGACGTTGCCCAAGTGTTCACGGTACATGCTCTCGCCTATAACGGGATCCAGGAAATGGTCGAAGGCCCTCGGTGCGCCGCTGGGGCGCCTACTGCTGTCGGTGCCAGGAGGCGCTGCGTGCCTGTTCTCAGCCCGGGTGCCGGGTTCACCCCGATCACTGATGGCACTGTCGCGTCTCGGCGGGGGCGCATCACCTCTGGAACTGGCGGCCGCCGCGGCACCTGCGGTTGAAGGCGCGGGCGGGCCGTTCGGCCGGAAGGCACCAAGGAGATCGTCGCCAGGGTTTGGGCTAGCTTCTGGGGCGCCCTCACCTTTGCCCTCGAGGCTGTACTCGAGCGAAGGTGGGAACGAGCTGCCAGGCTGCCGGGGACCTTCGCTCGCTTCTGCGCGCTTCTGCGCGCTCGCTCGGCGACTCTTCTGGGGATGCTGGTCGCGGGCCGTCGAAATCCACCGAGAGATCCCCTTCCGCGGCATTGCCGCTGCCGCCGTCGTGTACCTCGGCGTCGGCTGCGGCACCTGGTTGGTCGAGCTCCTCTTCTTCGCCCCTGGTCGAGTCTGCGGGTGCGTCGCCGGCCTTGCGGTCCTCCTGCAGGCCGCGGGGGGCGGCGGCCCCGCCCCTGGGGCACCGCCCGGGGCCAGGTCAACGCGTCCAGAATGCGACGCTGGGCCGCCCCGCTTGGGGGCGAGCCATGTCCCTGCCCCCGCACCTGCTGCTGTCTGCGGAGGCACCTCGCTGTCCGAGCTCGTGACTGGGTCATGGCACGCCAGGTTTGCGATGGTGGCTGCCGCGAGGGCGCTCGCGTCAAGGCCCAACAGGAAGCTAGCGAGTACTGAGAACTCATGCCGGAACGGGCTGGGTCCCTTGCTTCGCGCCAGGGAGGTGCAGTGCTGCTGCCAGGCTTCGTTGTGTCGTGGGCTGTTGGCGAGGTGCGTCACCGCTCTGGCGGCCGCCCAGCGCTTTCCGCCCCAGTTAACGAGTGTCGGCGCTTGCCGCCCCAGTTGACTGGTGGGGGTACTTTTTTTGTCAGCGGCCGCGGGCGAGCGCGCCAGCGGCGATTCAGGTCCAAGCGGGCTACGCAGAGACTAATTAGGCAGGCGACGCACAAGACAACATCAGCGCGGCAAGCCGAGGCCTCACGCAGCGGCCCAGCGGCAGGGGGGTGAACTGAGACTGGCGGGGCTACTTTTTTGTTGGTCGCGGCCGCGAGGCAAGGGTCAGGCGGCAAAGGCAACGTCCGGGCCACGAACGAAGCTAACTGGCTAGGACAGGCGCGCCGGCCGGCCCACTCAGACGGCAGCTGCAGGCTGGGCGAAGCTGAACTGACTGGCGCACTGCAAGCACGCGCACGCTGGGTGAAGCTGAACTGACTGGCGCACTGCAAGCACGGGCAAGTGCACTGGGCAAAATGACAAGAATTCAAGCGGCCAAGGCAAAACCCACACAGAGGACGCGGACCACGGTGGGCAAGTCTTGTGCATGGCGAAGACGAGCTGGCCATGGGAGTGAGTCGCCAATGTGGCGCCAGGCTGCAAACGGACGACCTGCACAAGCGAAGCCGGCTGAGCAGTCGCGAGCCGTGCTGCAGCGCACAGGGGGGGCTGAAGGCGGGCCTGAAGGACTGCACCTGTTGCGGAAGGCTGAGCCACCCAGCACGCTAGCCAGCTGCCAGCCCCAGTCAGACCACATCACAGCGTCGGGGGGGAACCGCGCGACTGTGAGCCATCCAGCGCGTGCCGGCACGGCAAGGCCACTGGGCGCGGGGGAGCCCGCTGGCGGGGTGAGCATCGCCAGCGAAGAGGGAGAGATGGAGTGCACTGGAGCGGTGGTGCCGCGAGGCGAACCGGACCCGATCAGAGGGCTTCCAAGAGCATAGGTTGAGCTGTACCTCACGGGGCACGCGGCGCCGGCACGGGCGATGTGATGTTGTCTCACAGCGGCGTGCCTGGGGGGGGCCGCACAGTGAGAGACGGGAGGGCCGTTAGACGCAGGTCCGGCCACGCCCGCCGCAGGCACATCCCACCCAGGCCCCGGGCACGCCAACGAAAGCCACGCGGCCCTCCAGGGCCGCACCGGACCGCCGCAGGGGGGGGGAACCAGCCCCAAACAGCGACGGGCGAGGGCGGCCCTGGGAGGGGGGGCGACACCACCAACAGCCGACGGAACGTCGGCGGTCCCCGTGGCCAAGAGCGGGGGACACCCGCCTGGCTCCTGCGGTGGGAGGCGGGCCGCCTCTCTCCTTGGTCAGGCCCCCTCACACGTGGGATAGGGGAAGTGGTTGGTCCAGGGGGTCGCAGCTGATCGCCGCTCAGGTCAGTGAATGTTGGGTGGGTTCTTCAATGGTTGGTCCTCGGGGGTCGCAGCTGATCGCCGCTAGAGTCGATATTGCCAAAACTGCGACCTGGACAGGTCGACCCGCTGGCGCGCGGGGGGGGGGTCCCGCGGCCGACCACCCGCCACCGGCGGGTGGGTGGCTGTCGTCGTCGGACAGCAAAGTGAGTGAGCCCGGGGCCTGTCTGCCCTGCGGGCGGGCCCCCTGTCCTGCCAGGGGGGGGGGGAGATGTCGGGTAATGGGGGGGGCACCCCCCGCGCTGGGCCCGAAAAGGAAGGTAGGTCCACCTGTCCAGCGTGGGCTGTCTAGCTACGTCGCGCCGTGGGTGAGATGCGGGGCAACCTGCGCCCCAGCGGAGGTTGCCCCTAGGCATTACGGCCTGAGCCGGGCGCGGCGAGGTGAAACTGGCCCCTTAGGGGCAAGAAGAGCCGGTAGGGAGGGACAGGTTTCGTTGGCCAGGAGCGCCGGCACAAGTCAGCCCTGGGTGTAGGAGGAGTCGCCCCTTGCCCACCAGCGGGCGCGCTTGTCCGAGTACTGGTCGTCCCCCCTAGGGGAGTACCGCTTGCCCTTTCCCTTCCAATCTGTGTCCGTCCATGGGGCTTCATGCCGATCCCACGAGGTCCATTCCTGCCAGCCCTGCCACTGGCTGGGGGTGGCTGTACCGATGGCTCCGGCCCAGTGGTCCTGCGTAGCCGCGGGAGCGGCCGCTCTGCCCTCGGCTGTCCATGGGGCGGGCTTGCTGTTGCTGCCGTAGTCGCGCTGAGCATGTGCACGGGAATCGTGGCGCATGATTTTCATGTGCTTGTCCCTGACTGCTGCCCAGTTGAACTTGAGCCCGCGCTCACTGTCCATCTTGTAAGCATCGTGCCCTGCGTCGCTCCAAGCCTCGAGGAATTCTGCGCACGTCTGGACCGTGTTCAGTTTGGGGTTGCTCTTGTGGCCTCCGCTGGTGGGGTTACTTTTTTTGATGGTCGGCTCCAGGGACAAATCCGAGAGGCGGGGCGGGCGCGGCTGGGGCACAGGGCGAGATAATTGGTTACGACGGCGCATAGGCCGACGTACCAAGTGCACTTACAAGAGGCAAAATGCCCCCCATTAAGATGCGTGCGACCCAGGAGCGGGGACGCAAGCATCAGACTGAAGCAGGCGGAGGAGAAGTCGCACTGTGGCGCCAGCTCGAACCGTACTGACCAGCGCGTACTGGCGTGAGCCAAGCTGCGCTGTGGCAGCACGGGGGGCCCGTGAGGCCGCACCGTCAAACACGACGAGGAGGCGAGAGAGCAAGGAAAGGCGGCGGGGGCGAGAGCACGCGCGGGCAGAAGAGGGGGAGCCGAGGAACGCTTCACTCACTTGGACTCCACTGGTGGGGTTACGCGAAGCGTCTAGAATTTCGGTCTCCTTAAGCGTCGATGAGATATCAGTTTTGGATGCTCAGACGAGCTTCACACAAGATGACGCTTGCACCTCATGACAAAGCCCTTTCCCATCCCCAGCGCCTTTAATGAGCCCCTTCGACTCCATGCGAGGGCAGCCACTGGGGCCTTCGGGGAAGCTCTCCATGGGGCCAGGAAACGCTGTACTGGGCGGGGTAATCGCATGCGAGGGCAGCCACTGGGGCCTTCGGTGGAGCTCCATATGGGGCCACGAATCGCTGGACTGGGCGAGACAAAAGACAAACATGCTGATGGCAGAGAAAGGAATGGGAGGAGGAGGAGGAGGAGGAGGAGGAGGAGGAGGAGGAAGAGGAGGAGGAGGAGGGGGAGGAGGAGGAGGAGGAGGAGGAGGAGGAGGAGGAGGAGGGAAAGGAGAAGGAGGAGGAGGAAGAGGCTGAAACGGGAATCCAACGGGGGAATCCGACAGAGGACTCCCATCGTGGACTGCTGTGGGGGAGTCCATGGTGCAGTCCTACTGGGATCCGATCCTACTGGGATCCTCTTTGCACCCTTTCGAAATCCGATCGGGATCCGATTGGAGTCTTACTGAGTTCATGCTGGAACCCTCTTGGGCTCTCATGGGAATCAAGTCGGGGTCTTGTTACAGTCCTATTAGGATCTTCGCGGGATCCCGCACTGAGGGGTCCGTGAGCGGGATATAACTTCCGATGCCAAGAAGCGATATTGGTTGACCGAGAGGGGGTCGACAAGTGCTTACGAGAGCTAGTTGATGAACACGAAGATGATGACGACAACAACGATGGTGCTGATGATGGCAATGAAGATGATGATGATGATGATGATGATGATGCTGATGATGATGTTGATGATGATGATGATGACGATGATGATGATGATGATGATGATGGTAATGATACTGATAATGAGAATGATGATGGTGATGTTGATGATGATGATGATGATGATGCTAACAATGGTGGTGATGGTGCTGGTAATGATGATGATGATGATGATGATGCTGATGACGATGATGATTATGATGGTGATGGTGATGATGATGGTGATGATGCTGATGGTGATGATGATGATGCCGATGCTGATGCTGATGCTGATGCTGATGATCATGAAGATGATGGTCAGAATGATGATTATGATGATGATGATGATGATGATGATGATGACAATGGTGGTGATGGTGATGGTGATGATGATGGTGATGATGCTGCGATTGCTGATGAGGATGCCGATGCTGATGCTGATGCTGACCATGGTGATAATGATGATGATGATGATGAGTTTGGTGATGCTGATGAGGATGATGATGATGGTGAGAATGATGATGGAGATGGTGATGATGATGATGATGGTGGTGATGATGATGGTGGTGGTGGCAAGGATGGTTGTAGAGTGGTGGTGGTGTGGATGATGAAAATGATGATTGTGATGATGATGATGATGATGATGATGACGATGATGATCACGATCATGAGAATGATGATGATGATGGGCATGATGATGAGCGTGATGATGATGGTGGTGGTGCTCATGATTCTGACGACGATGATGAGGGTGATGATGAGTATGGTGGTGGTGATGCTGATGCTCACGCTGATGCTAGTGGTGATGGTGATGATGATGATGGTGGTAGTGACAACGACGACGACGACGACGATGATGATGCTGACGAAGACGATGACGATGACGATGACGATGACGATGACGATGACGATGATGATGATGATGATGATGATGATGATGATGATGATGGTGATGGTGATGGTGATGGTGATGGTGATGGTGATGGTGATGGTGATGATGATGCTGATGCTGATGCTGATGCTGATGCTGATGAAATTGATGGTGAAGATGCTGACGATGGTGATGGTGATGGTGATGGTGATGGTTATGGCGATGGTGATGGCAGTGGCGATGGTGATGGTGATGGTGATGATGACGATGACAACGACGCTGATGATAATGATGCGCCCACAGGGGCGGACAAATCTGGTCACACATCCTTTGAGACAGGCTGCTCCCAACGCGAACCATGGAGGCAAGGAGAACCGGTACGGCACGCAAAATACGTGAATCCTCAAGCAGGTAATCAGAACGAGAAAAACACAAGAGTGACGATGGTCACGACGTGCCCTCCGGCGACCGAGACGCACAGCAATCGAAGAGCTGCAGCGCCAAGCCGAGGGCAGCGAGCAACACGCCCGTACCAGACGCCCGCCCCGCCGGTGCACAGGCGCCTCGCGACACTTCTCGCCCTCCGCGCCCAGGCGCCCCGCGAAGCTGCGGGCGACGACGACGACGACGACGACGACCACCACCACCACCACCGAAGACGACGACGACGACGACGAAAACGAGGACGGCAACGACGGGCGATGGCGACGGCGACAAAGACGGCGACGAAGACGGCGGCGACGACAATAAGGGCGACGAGGACGGCAACGAGGACGAGGAGGACGAGAAGGACGGCGACGGGGACGAGGGCGAAAACGATGACGACGGAGGACGGCGGAGAACGACGACGACGAGAACGAGAAAAACGGCGGCGACGGCGAGGATGACAACAGAAGGCGACGACGACGACGACGACGACGACGACGACGACGACGACGACGAGGACGGCGAGGACGAGGGCGGCGGCAACGACCACGGGGACGCCTACGACGAGGACTACAGCCAGCACTCGGGCGGCCCAAGCGCGGGGGCGGGCGGCGCGCACGCGGCGCGGGACCGACGGGCAGCGGCCAAACGGCCGGCTCGGAGGCCACAGCGCGGGTGCGGAGGGAGGGACGGAGGAGACGGAGGACGGAGGAGGACGGAGGAGGAGGGAGCAGGAGGGAGAAGGACGGGGGAGGAGGGAGACGGAGGACAGGGGAGGAGGACGGAGGGGGAGGAGGAGGGCGGAGGAGGAGGACGGAGGCGCAGGAGGAGGAGGACGGAGGTGGGGAAGGAGAGGGGGGAGAGAGGAGGAGGGAAGAGTATGGACGAGGCAGGGAGGGGGGAGGGAGGAGGAGGAGGAGGAGGCTGAGGAGGAGGAGGCTGAGGCCGCCTGGTGCATGCGTGCTTCGTGTGCCCGCAACACCCGCCCCTCCGACACATGCTCTGCAGCACCCCTGACGAGGCCATCCTTCAGTATCAAACGTGAACGCTGACAGCTCGTGAACACCAAGTGTACAAACGAACAACCAATAATTTGTCTGAGCGGACCTGCAGTTCCTTGCAGCATGTCATACGGAAACCACGCGCCTTCGCTCTGCGCGCGCTGGGCTTCAGTCGATCCCATCCGCATCAGAGAACGAGGAGGAGGATGGATGGAGGAAGCGGAAGGAGGGAGGAGGGAGGAGGAGAGAGGAAGGAGGGAGGAGGGAGGAGGGAGGAGGAGGAGGGAGGAGGGAGGAGGAGAGGAGGCGGAGGGCGGAGGGAGGAGGAGGAGGAGGAGGAGGAGGAGGCGGAGGAGGAGGAGGAGGAGGAGGAGGAGGAGGAGGAGGAGGAGGAGGAGGAGGAGGAGGAGGAGGAGGGGAGGAGGAGGAGGAGAGGAGGAGGAGGAGGAGGAGGAGGGAGGAGGAGGAGGAGGAAGGAGGAAGGAGGAGGGGGAGCGTGAGGAGAAGGGGGGGGCGCAGGGTGAGAGGCCGAAGTCTCGGCGGATCCTGGCGGGGGGCTCCTGGAGGGGGGTCCCCGGGGAACACCCGGATGGGGCGGAGAACAGAGGCCCGGGGGGAGGGGGGCCGTGCTCGTGGGCTCCGAGGATGCGCTCCGGAAGATCTGGCGGGAGGGGGCGATCGGGGGGTGGGGGGGGGGGGGCGATCCGGGGAGGCGATCTGGGGGGGGAGGGGGTGGGGGAGCGGGGGGGGGGGGGGGGGGCGATCCGGGGGGGCGATCTGGGGGGGGGAGGGGGCGGGAGGGGGCGGGCGGGGGGGGGGGGGCGATCTTTGGGGGGGGAGGGCGTGCAAGAAACGGTGACGATGACACCGAGGACACGCCGCTGCGGGGAAAACCATCGGCGCGTCACTGCTGGAGAGAGAAGCGCTCGGCTTCCCAACGGCGACGAAGGAGTAGCACGCTGGCGCGTGACAGGTTACCAACGGCGGCGTTTCATTGATCCTCTTTTTTTGGGACGCACGAGGACATACTAGCACTAGATGACCTCCTCGGAGATGCTCGTCCGAGCCGAACATATAGTACACCCATTTTGTAGTATATCGTTTCCCGAGCGGTGTCGCCAGAAAGCGCCCGCCACGACGCATATACTAGAAGATTTCTCGGTGCGCGCGTCGCCCCTGGGGGGGGCAACGCACATATAGTATAAGTGTGTTGGGGTGACGCCGAACTTTCCCTCGTCAAGGGCTCAGCGGCGTCTGCTGTCTCCATCGACTCGCGTCGGAGCTTTCACGCTCTGTTCCAGGCTTACCTGGAGATCTCTCCGAAACTACCTAGGTCTGCCTGGATATACCTCGACTGATCTGGATTTACCTCGAGCTACCTCGATCTACCTGCGTACTCCGAAGTACATAGTGAAAGGGGGGTCTGATATTCTGGGGGGTATGATTTGAGCTGCCCTGGAGAGTTCCGCGGGGTCTGGGCAAAAGCGCCGCTCTTTCATGGCTGGCCTGGGGGCGGTCTGGAACTGATCGTCTGGGAGGGTTGCGAGCCCCCCTCCCTTTCATTACAAAATTTAGAGTCGCTTGATCCCCGCAGGTCGACTGTGCGAGGCGGCGATTCATCCATATCCACCGCCTGGGAACCGTCGTCTTAGTGCCCCAGCGGGCGGTGGATATGGATATATGTCGGCCCCCGGGGCCCGAATGTGTCCATATCCACCGTCTGCCGAGGCTCCAAAAACTGACCCTCCAGGCGGTGGTCGTGTATAAATTCCCGCCTCGGAGACTCGACAAGAGCCGTGGAGCCCCTGGGGAATTCCCTCCCGACGCCAGCCGTCGACAGCGGCGGGGCGGCGGGAGCGGCCCACGCCGCGCAGGCGGCGCCGCGGAATGGCGGCGCGCAGGGGGGTACAGGGGAGGGGGCAAGGCTTCTTAGAAGGAAGCCGCTTCTGAGTATCGCTTAACCGATCCCCATCCCCAGCGGCGTGGCCTGGGCCCCACTGGCCGATGTACCCCCCGCCCTAGATGGGGATAGAGGTCGTTCCCTTCGGGTCTCGAGGGGTGTATCCCCGACTAGGGGGGTAATTTGGTGGGGGTCTCGAAGGGGACGGGGATGGGGATGGGGATCGGTGAAACGATACTGAGCTTCCCAGAAGGCGCCAGCCATGCATCTGCAGACAAGGCCCGCGTCCTCTAAGAAGCATGGGGTGCTTCTAAGAAGCCTTCCCTCCCTCCGCCTTACTGCGAGGCAGGGATTTATCCATATCCACCGCCTGGGAACCGAAGTCCTGGCGGGCGGTGGATATGGATATATTTCGGCCCCCAAGGCCCGAATCTGTCCATATCCACCGTCTGCCGAGGCTCCGAAAACTGACCCTCCAGGCGGTGGTCGTGTACAAATTCCCCCCCTCCTCCTTACCCTCTTTTACGCGCGTGGCGGAGCGTGCGAGCACAGAGAGGCAACGGGCCCCGAAGGAAACGGGCTCGTCCCGAGCCGTTCTCTGGCGGTCCCGAGGCCCGGGGACGGCCCCCCGAGGGCCCGAGCGCCGAAAAAGCGGGGGAACAAAAAAAAATCCAAAAATCCATGGCCCCACCTCCACCAGGAGATCCAGAAATCAAACCAAGAAGTACCGATACCAAAAGGGAGGAGATTAAAATGAAGGGGCCCTGGGACACACAAATAGATACACACAACTAACAGGATTCCCCATATTTTCCTGTATTTTTTCGGGGTCTTTGTCTTCCCCCCCACTTCCCATATTTTCCTGTATTTTTCTGGAGATCGACGATTAGTTATGTCTGTGTTTTTTCCCCTCCTGATCAAAAAGGGGTAAGAGCACGACCCGCTCCGCGCGGGCGGCGCCGCGGAGGCCTCATCGCCCCCACCACCAGCCTGGCACCCTGCCGGTCCAGCAGCAGCGAGCAGAGGCGGGAGTCCTGCCTGACCAGCGCCTCGCGCGGCCGGGGCCCCGAAGGTCGGGAGTCGAGGATCAAGGTTGGAGGCTCATCATTCCTCCTCCTCATCCTCCTCCTCCTCCTCATCCTCCTCATCCTCATCCTCACCCTCATCCTCATCCTCATCCTCATCCTCATCCTCATCCTCATCCTAATCCTCCTCCTCCTCCTCCTCCTCCCTCCTCCTCTCATCCATCATCATCATCATCATCATCATCATCATCATCATCATCATCATCATCATCATCATCATCATCATCATCATCATCATCATCATCATCATCCTGTTTCTCTCTCTCTCTCTCTCCCTCTCGTGTTCTCCTCCTGTACCTCAATGCGTCTCCTCAACCTCGCGAACGAGAATCGAAACCGACGTTCGAGGCTCGAGGATCGAGTGTCGATCATAGAAGGTCGAGGCTCGAGGGTCGAGTTTCGAGACTCGAGGATCGACCCAGGTTCGAGGCTTTCTAGGTTTGCGTCCGTTTTGGGAGTCTTCCCGGGCATCCTGGAAAATTCTTATCGCCACGGCCTGGTCTTCCTGAAAAATCTGGCGAGAGCACCCAGGACAGGTCCAGGGGGCGACTTGAGGAGGGCCACAAACCTCCGACGTCTTCAAACCTCCGACGCCTTCAGAAAATTATGCCAGTTCCAGCGGTTCCCGAGGGACGTTCCATCCCTTCCGACGTCGCACAGTTGTTCGTGACGTGGGCCCCAGCGGATCTCGACCCCTTCCCCAGGGCCGGCGTCTCAGCCCGACTCGCTTTGCGACGGTCCCGCGGCCAGGAGATTGCCTGCACAAGCCCTGTAGCGTAGAAAAACTGCGCCGTCGCGATTGTATTGCGACGCGCAGGTCGCAAAGTTCTCGGGCTCTGCGACCATGAATGACCAATCCTACACGGAAAGCAGGTCCGTTGCCGGGAAGGGCGCCAGAGAGCTCCTCCTCCACGACGACCACGACGACCACGACCCGCACGGCGACCACGAAGACGGCGCAGAACCGCCAGGCCACATCGACCACGACAACCACGACCACGACGACGACGACCACGGCGACGACGACGACGACGATGACGACAACGACGACGACCACGACGACGACGACGACCACGACCACGACGACGACGACGACGACGACGACCACGACCGTGACGACAACCACGACCACGACCACGACCACGACCACGACGACCACGACCACGACCACGACCACGACGACCACGACGACCACGACGACCACGACGACCACGACGACGACCAAGACGACCACGACGACCACGACCACGACGACGACCACGACGACCACGACGACCACGACGACCACGACGACCACGACCACGACCACGACCACGACCACGACCACGACGACCACGACGACCACGACGACCACGACGACCACGACGACCACGACGACCACGACGACCACGACCACGACAACCACGACGACCACGACGACCACGACGACCATGACCACGACGACCACGACGACGACGACGACGTTGACGACCACGACGACCACGACGACCACGACGACGACGACACCAACAACGGCGCTTGACCACGACCACGAGCAGCAAGAGAGCTTCCTCCAGGCCGGAGCAGCAGGCCCCGCAGGCGTCGGGCTCCAGGCCGCCCTCAGGGCTCAGGGCCTGCGAGCGCGCAGCGTCCGCCGCCGCCGCCGTCGCCGCCGCCATCCCCATCGTCGATATCGACGTCGTTGTTCTTCGTCGTCCTCCTCCTCCTCCTCCTTCTCCTCCTCCCACTTCTCCAGAGATCTGCGGAGCTCTCACAAGGCCTGCTGAGGTCCCCGTCGTTGATCTCGTCGTCGTTGTTCTTTGTCGCCGACGTCGTTCTTCGTCCTCCTCCTCCTCCTCCTCCTCCCTCCTCCTCCTCCTCCTCCTCCTCCTCCTCCTCCTCCTCCTCCTCCTCCTGCTCCTCCTCCAGGTCTGCTTCTCCAGAGATCTGCGGAGCTCTCATAAGACCTGCTGAGGTCTCTGGAGTTTGCCAGAGGCCTCCATGGGGCCCCCAGAGGTCCCAGATGGAGGGACGGTGGGGGGAAGATGCTGTGATCCCAGACCCCCGACGTCAGGTCGACCCCCACAAAGGTCTCCACCCATTCCCTGAGGACCGGCGTTTCATCCCGGGCCTTCTGCTGATGTTCCCGGGGCCTGGCGAGGGCTCCAGAAATGGACAAAAAAAACATCCCGTCGCGATCATGGCGCGAGGGGAGCCCAGCATCGAATCGGTAGATTGGATCGGCGATCGGCATGAATTGGATCGGCGGACATGGGCAGCCAAATCGGGAGAAAACGAATCGGCGGAGATCGGCAGGCAAAAAGAGGCATCCGTGGAGAAACAGAGATCCGCATCGGAATCCGTAATCGAATCGAATCGGAATCGGAATGGAGATCGAGTCGACTCGAGTCGGAGCCGAGGTGAGCCCTGGAGGGGGTCTGGGTTGCTCTCGGGGGGGCGCTGCGCCCACGCCCAGCCCACGGGGAAGTGCTCCTGCGGACCCTGGGCCTGGCTCCACGCCTCGTGGGGGGGGGGAGTCCTTGGCGGCTGGGAAGCAGGGGGTAGGAGGAGGGATGCAGAGAGGGAGGAGGCGGAGGGGGAGGAGGGAGGGAGGAAGGGAGGGAGGGAGGGAGGACGGGTGGAGGCGGAGGCGGAGGCGGAGGAGGGAGTCAGGGATCCGCGGCAGCTTCTTCTGGCGGGGGGTCTGGAAGGGCCTCTGGCGCTCCGGCGAGGCGCAATGAGCACGGGAAGAGAGAGAGAGAGAGAGAGAGAGCGGAAGAGGAGATGGGCGGGACGAGGACCGAGGAGGGCGAGGAGGTGGAGGAGGGGGGAGGGAGATGAACGGTGCGAGGGGGTTACTGAGACGGTACATAGGATTGCCGGGGAGACGTAAGACTCGGGTGCGGGGGACTCGGGTTGGCCTCACGGGGTCATCATGAAAACGACGAGACCCAATCTGAGATTTGACGCGAGATCCCGCTGCAAACGTCCCACGAACACCGGACCGTCAAAATCCAGGACGCGCTCGTCAGAAAACGTCGGCAAACCCAAGTCCCGGCTTACTCGAGTCTTACGCTTCCCCGAGATTGGGCATGGGGGGGGTGAGCCGGGAGGCGGGAGGAGCCAGGCGGGAGATAGGAGGGGGTAGCAACGGGGCGGGGCGCGGGGCCAGCGAGAGTAGGCAGCAGGGAGGAGCTCGGGAAGAGGAGCAAGGGAGGGAGTGCGGGACCGGGGTGCCCGAAGGGAGAGGAGGAGGGAAGGAGGCACAGGGGGCCAGGGAGGAGCAGGGAGGCGGGGAGGAGAGAGGAGGGAGGAGGCGGGGAGAGGCCAGGGGAGCGGCGGAGCGGAGAGCGGGGAGGGGCGAGGGGCGGGGTGGGGGAGGGAGCAGGGGATGGAGGAGAAGATTCGCGCCCCTTCCGATCATTGGGAGGCAACTGCTGGGAGGTTCGTCGGAAGGATCAAGGAAGATCGAGCCCCAATGGGGCGCTGCTACGCCAGATTGGGCCTCGCAAGAAGCGGGATTGAGCCGGATTAGGCCGGGTCAAGCCGGATTAAGCGGGAGTAAGCGGGATCACACCAGATTGAGCCGGACTTCGGACCAGGGCGAAATCAGAATCTGACCTGCCAGGAGTGGTATCCGAGCGGCCAAACGACGAGCGTGCCTGGCTGCAGAGGGGGCTCGCGCCCGCGCACTCGGAACTCAGCCGGGTGAGGGAGCCCCGGTCGTCGAGGGCCCGGCGACTCTCGGTGAGGCCGCGCCTGCAAGTCATGCGCAGGACGCAAGTGCACAGGGCCAGAGCAGCGACCTCGCGTGCCGCCAGGGCACGAACGGAGGAGCGAGTGCGCGTCCTGCACACGCAGCGTGTGCCGGTGGGGGCTCGCCGCCTCTGGGCTGTCGGGGCCCCCCCCGCCCTGTGCGCGGAGGCAGGCCACGCTCGAGGCGGCAGGCACGGCGACGACGGGCCCGCCGCAGAGCGCCCGCGGCACGCGAGCCCGCGCCGCGCCCGGCGGCGGCGCGGCCACAGCACGGCGGGGACGTTGCATTGAGGGGCAACAGTACAGTCGCCCCGTATCAGAAGGACGCGCGATAAGGATGCAAGGGCCTTGGGAGGCCATGTCGACACTTCGCGGGCGGGACGCGGCCAGGAAGCGGCCAAGGATGGGCCGAAGGGGGAGGAAACCAGGGCAAGCTCGGGAAAATTGCCCATCCTTACCACACGGGTTGACTGTAGGGGGGGACCGGCTCAGGGGGTTCGAGGTTCGAGGTTCGCGGCTTTCAGACATTCTCGTTGGTCCTCGGCGGTGTTCTGGCCTCGGGGTGCCTTCCAGCGGCTGCGCCTCGCCGAGAGCGTTCTGAGAGTGCCTGGATCGTTCCGACCGGCCGCTGGAGGTCCAAGTTAGTTAAGGGCCCGAAAACCACCAGGGAGCCAGCTCAGACTGGAAAACATCGGCCTGGAGTCGGCGATGCATCGCCGATAGATCGGCGATGGGCCACCGACAGCGCGAACCCGCACGGTCCTGGTCGCAAAAATTCGCGACAGGTTCCCCCCCGCCAGCCGCGGCCGCGGAGCTGGAAGAGGAAAACCACCGCGATCAAAAACCGCGACTGTAGTTTCCCCCTCCCAGCCGCGGCTGCAGCCGCGGCCGACGGACCTGGAAGCGGTGGGCTATCGGGCCCCCATCGGCGATCAGTGGGCGATGAGGGGTCGAGGCATCCCCCCCCCTGAGCCTATCCTCCCCGAACGCTGCCCCTGACGTACGCCTCGCTGCCCGACGGTGGGTAAGCGTGACTGGCGGGCCCCGCGGCAAGGGCGTGGGCAGAGGCCTGGACCAGTGCCCCGCACCGAGGCCGATGTCGGCTGCACCGCAAGAGTGACCCTTGGCAAAAATGTCCTTTTGGTGGGCGGCTTCTAACGGGGGCCGAAGCGGGGGGGGGGAGTCCAAGCGCGCAAACAAGTGGTGGTGCAGAACGAGAACGAAGCAGGATCGGGACAGTGTCGGATCGGGACAAGTCGGGAATCTCTGAAATCTGGCGGTTCTCAAAAAGATGTATCGGGCGCCTCGGCTTTCTCAGAGCGCTGTGGAACGCTGTGGGGACGGCCCCAAATGCTCTGGAGCGATTGAATACGTTCCTCAGCCTTCGATCAGGGGATCGACTACAGAATTGATTTACCCCAAAATTGCTTTCCCCGTAGAATCTTCAAAATACGTAGAATACCCCGTAGACCTGTGGAGCATTCTACGCATGTTGCGTAGGCTCGACTAGAAAATCAAGTCTTGGGGTAAATCAATTCGGTTGTCGATCCCCTACTCGAAAGCCTGCCTGATCGGGGGGTCCCGGGGGAAACTTGGGGGCGTCCAGGAAAAGCGCGTCCAAGGGGCGGGGGGGCGGTCGCAAGTCATGACCCGAGCCGTGTGCGTAGACGAGGAAGGGGCCAGAGGACGTGCACATTGGAAGGTGACGAGGGGGCCATGAGATCTGGAGAGACTTCACGGCCCCGGCCATGACATTGACCCCCCCCAAGATCGGGAGCGGCCAAGAGGGGGGCGTCCAAGAGGGGGGGGGTGCAGATCATGGCCGGCGGCATGTGCGCGGCCCAGCGGGAGGGCTGGGGACGTAATGAAATAAGAAGAGGCGCCATGAAATCTGGGGAAATATCATGACCCCCGCCATGATGTCCACCCCCCCCCATCACCCCCCTCTTTCCCCCCCCCCCCCCCCGAGAGTCCTCACCCCCCCCCTCGCGAGCGCCCCCGAGGAGCGGCCCTCCACTGGCCCCGCTCCTCATGCCGAGCCGTGGCCGTGGGCCGCCCCCGGGGGCCCGCGGAGAGCCCGGGGAGGGCCAAAACGGGGAAACGCAGCTGCAGGGGCCCTGGAACACACAAATAAATACACGCAAATAAAAAGATTCTCCATATTTTCCCATATTTTCTAGGTTTTTGTCTTCCCCCACACTTCCCATATTTTCCGATATTTTCCTGGGAGTGGACGACTAATTGTGTCTGTGTGTTTTTCCCCCTCCTGAGCAGCCCAGGGCCTGTGCCCCTCGGGTCCACTTTTCCCCCAAGGCGACGGGACCCCCCCTCACCAAAGCGCGCCCGGGAACCGCTGGATGAGGCTCCGGTGGCCGCCCAGCACCACGCCAGCCAGCGCAGGGTCCAAAAGACGCGAGGGGAGACAGCGGAAACAGCCAGGTCGGGCGAACATAGATCTGGCACCCAGCAAATCGGGTGGAGGGAAGAGGGAGGACTCACAAGTGGGGGGTGGGTGGTGGGAGGCAGGGAAGGAGGCGGGAGACGGTAGACGAGACGAGACGAGACGAGACGAGACGAGCGACGGAGTCGTACGCGCTCCTCTGGGGAGCCCGCCCGTGCCCAACATGGCATGGTTTCGAGGCTGCAGGCTCGGCAAGGACGATGCGAATTGAATCAAACAGGCCGGCTGGCCGCTCACTGGACGAGGTCCCGGAAGGCGAGCCGGGGTAGGGTGGTAGGAAGGAAAGGGAAGGGAAGAGGGAAGATGCACGGATGCATGAATGACGTGATGGATGGATGGAGCGCGGGGGGGAATGCGGGGAGGGGGGGGGGGGGGCAGCTGTCTGGCAGGTAAAGTTCACAGCGACGCCCCTTGCCT